CATAGTGAAGAATTTTCCATCTGAGCAGTCTGCAAGGACAGAGTAGAATCTTTAGGGAAATTAAGTTTGTAATTATTATGCACACATTTTAATGATAGATACATTCTATATTGACTCATTTATATGCATCCTTGGTGTAGCAAGTTGAAAATCATCCACTACTAAGTGAGAAGCTAAGAAGCTCTGGATGAAATAGTCTTTTAAGATATTACACATGTTTTAAGTATTTCTAGTCATGTAGGTAACAGTGAAAAAGCAGAATCTTGAACTAAACCAGCCATCAGAAGTCACCCAATACAATCTCTAACCACAAATATACTTAGACAAAATTTAAAGCAAAAACTACTTTTAAAAAAAGAAATCCAAAAAAGGCATAAATTCAAGAATTGCTCTTTCATAAAAGTTTTCTATCTTTTTGTTAACTCAAGGACTGTTACCATATGTATCTGGAGGGAAGGAGGTAAAAGATCTATGGATACACAGAGTTTTAAAATGCTACAGTTTTCCCAAGAAAGTACACCTATTTCATCATCTTTCAATCAATTATCTAGTTCATGATCCATGTTTGACTCCAAATGCTGTGGTTTTTCTTCTGTTCCTCCTCCTTTAACCAAAATATCAACCACAGCCATTTTCCCAGTAATTAGTATTTTCAACCAGAAATCAAGAAAAAGAAGCAGATGAATATCAATTTAAGGTAGTCAATTATGATAATTTATAGCAAGTGTTTAGTACGGTGAAGGTTGAAAGTGGTAGCTAAAAAGAAGTTTGGATTATCTGTAAACTTCTCTGATCATAATTTTATCAAAACACTGATTCAAGTACTAAAAAAAAGGAAAGAAACTTACCTCATCTACATTTTCAAAGGCATTGATGATGTCGTAAGGTAAACAAGACAACAGATCAATCACAAACCAAGTTTTCAGATAGTTCATCCTTATCAACTTGGGGTCAGAAATGACCTCTCCACCAGGCCCCACAAAGGTCGTATGAAAATTTAAAACAATGTCAACCAGAAAAATAACGTCCACCACACTGTCCAGCACCAGCCAGGCTATGTTGTTCTGCTTCGTTTTGAAGGAAACATTATAAGGAACCATAATGGCGGTGTAGAAGGTAAGAATTAAAATCACCCAATCCCAAGTTGTTTTAAAAGCACAATAGTGTAAAATAATGTGTGGTGGCGTCTTTGGCGCTTCTTGCTTATACTGAGGAAGGATATCTGATCCCAGCTGAAGAACCTAAAAGAGAGAAAATGTATACATAAATGACCTGGACATCTCTG